TGCGCGGGCCTCTGGCCGTCGGCGTAGGCAGCGATGCCCATCTCATTTTTTGTGCGCGGAGGCAGACACCGTCAGAAGGTGGACGGGAACTATGTACACGGCCCTAGGTTGGCTAGAGGGCGCTGCATTGCCTCAGTAACCTGGCTTCGCCATCAAAGGAGGAGGGAGCAGGTGGCGACGAGCTGAACTGGGCTGGTTGACCCCTTCGGCGCGAGAATTTTTATTTTTCAGACCAAGAACCTTGAGTGCAACGAGGGAGAAAGCGAGGAACCGACTGGGAAGGACAGCAACGAGAGCGTGTACGGACGGAGCAGGTCGAGTGGCGTTATGCTCGGGCTGACTACAGCGGCGCCGGACGGAGCAGCGGCACCGGAGCATGCGGGCGACATCGACCCGTGGCGCACGGACAAACATTTATATCTGATCTGTGTTGTCAATTTTTCTCGTTTTTTTCCTGATTTTCGGTGATGGTTTTGTGTGATGACGTCGTCACTGGTTTTGTAGAGAGACCCGTCAGAGATGGCGTGGCTAACCCGGGTGCCTTGGTTATGTGCCTGATCGTGGAAGACCCCTTCAATGTGGAACGATTCTTAGCTATTGTCGATATTTTCACTGCGTGCCTAACACAGACGATCGGGAGAGGTTCGGGTGATTGTCCATTGCAATCATGGCTTTGGTTGGTTGTTCTTTTTCACTGTACGTCCGCAGACACATTCTGACAGCACTTCAGACAGCAGCTTTGTGCCCCGCCAGCTTCTTGTTCCATGCCTACCATGGTGTTTTTGTACAGACAGCACTTCAGACAGCAAGTATGCTGTAGTCGGCAATCATTCGTTTTGGTACAGAGTGGGACAGGTAGGGGGTGATGTTGCTGTAGTCGAACGGTGAGACGGACGTGTAGTTCAGTTTTGGGCACGCGTACGGTGCTGCAGGGATTATATATAGGTGTAGTAGTACCTCTTCGGGCTCTTGTACACCTTTTTCTTGCTACGTGTGCGTGTTCTTTAGATCCTCAGATGGCTCCAGCACTTTCGTGACCACGGGCCGAGAGTCTTTGCTAGATTTTGGCATTTAGCAACTGGCATACGGTTTAATGTGAAGTCAACAACAACAACAACATTGTGCTATATATATATATAAGGGAAATAAGTTGAGAGATTCGACAGGTCTTTTGAGAGGAGGATTGGATAGAATCTTAGATTCTCGGAATGCAAGTAGGGACTGTCAGCAGAGTTGGGTTAAGAGTAGGATTTTGGAAAACTGTGGACATGTGTGTGGACGAAGAGACACCCCCAAGTGGTCAGTCTGACCCGCCCGGAGTCTTCTCCCATGTTGTCCCGATATGGTCAGAACTTCTAATAACACGACACTTTGATCGCAGCTCTACTGGACTTAAAACATTACCAGGACAAGAACCTCGGCATTCAACACAAATACGTACGCGGTGGGTAGCGCACCCCGATCCCCCGATACTG